TGTTAAATTGTCTTACTCAGGAATTATATGTAGTGACTTTAATCATAAAACCTTATATAAAAACGTTATGTTTACAAAAGGAATCTCAGGTTTCTATCAAATTCCTAAGAAGCTTTTATTTGGAAACTTATATAAACTCAATATTTAATATCATCCTTAATATACTTCCTTTATTGTCTCATTAAAAGTATCTGATATAGGGGCTGGGGATTTAGCTCAGGGGTTCCGCCACCTGCTTCGCAAGCGCAAGGACCCAAGTTCGATCCCCGGTACCAAAAACAAACAAACAAACAAAAAAGTATCTGATATAAAGAAAACAAATTTTTTCACCAAGTGCCATGTAATTTTCTCCAAATTCCCATTAATTTATCCCAGTGTGTTGTACAAATATTATTTCTATGGATATGATGATACAAAAAAAAAAAAGATCGAAAACTACCAGTTTAACCTTTAGGTCAAGGTTTTTTAACATGAAATCCCTTGATGGATTTTAATTTTTTTTTTTTCTTCCGGTACCGGGGATCAAACTCGGGTCCTTGCACTTGCGCAGCAGGCAGTGAAACCATTGAGCTAAATCCCCGGCCTCTTGATGGATTTTAGCAAGTGTGAAATATACAAGTGCAGCTTTCTGAAGAAAAAGTTAATAGCTTTTATCAAATTTTTAAAGTTTAAGGAGTTTTCCTCAGGGATTTCAAGTTATCTATAATTTTATCCCTGAAGAAGTAATGATAAAAGTTAAGGGTTATAGGCTAATCAGGCCTCCAATAAGACAGGTGGGAAGAATGAAGGCGCTACATAACTAGAACTACTGTATGACTTTATCTCTTTGTCTCTGTCTTTTGAGAATCCTGCTTTTGACTTCTCTTTTCTCAAAAGCAGCTAGTATACTAAGAGAATCCTAGAATCTTCACTCTGTTAGTAGATACCACTTCTCATATCATCAGAAGACCAAGCAGAAGCTAGGGTGTAGTCCAGGAATATAAGTGTGTAGGGTATAAATGTGCAGACAGAATAATTTCAAATACTCATGTGTGATCCAGCACAGTTTAAAAAGTAGCTATACTGGGACCTGTAGCCAAAGCCTTAAAGCCAATACCATAAAAAGTACATTTGCCCAGACTATCTCCTCTGTGTTTCCATAGAACTGTGCATATCCACAGTTCTCCTATAAATCTGGTAGATTTCCCTTGGGGCCTATCAGAAGTAACTGAAGTCACAGTACCAAATACACTGTAATTTATTGATGTGTTTTTCTCTGATAATAGGCTATGAGCTCCTGAGAAGCAGATAAACATTTATTTTGTTCTTAAAACAGTATCTAGTATATAGAACACAACTATTTTCTCAGTTAATGATAAATTAATAAATATGTAAAACTCTTAAAGACACAGGCACAAGTAAGGACTGTCTAAACAGAATGTCAATTGCACAAGAAATAATATGAAGAATCAACAAGTGGGATTACACAAATTAAAAAGCTTCTAGGGCCAGGGATTTAGCTCAGTGGTTCCGTTGCTTGCCTTGCAAGGGCAAGGACCCGAGTTTGATCCCTGGTACCAAAAAAAAAAGCTTCTGTACAGCAAAAGAAACAACCAACAGAGTGAAGATACAATCTACAGAATGAAAAACTTTTGCCAGCTATTCATCAGAAAGAGGACTAATATCTAAAATATATAAAGAACTAAAAAAATGAGTCCCCCCCCAATAAAGACCCAAATCAAAAAATGGGCAACTAAAATGAACAGACACTTCTGAGAAGAAGTATAATGGCCAATAAATACATGAAAAAAATGTTCAGTATCTCTGCCATTAGAGAAATACAAATTAAAACAATACTGAGGCTCCATCTTACTCCAGAAAGAATGGCTATCACCAAGAAATCAAATAATAGAGAGGCTGTGTGGTGGGGAGAATCCTGCTACATTGTTGGTGGGAATATAAACTAGTACAACGACTATGGAAATCAATATGGACATTCCTCAAAATATTAAAACTAGAAATTTCATTTGACCTATCTATTCCCCTTCTAGGTAACTTACAGAAAGAGTAAAACATCACATTACAGTGATATATGCATATTTATAGCGGCACAACTCATAACAGCCAAATCTTGGAATTAGCTTATATGTCCATCAGTAGATGGAGAGAGAAAATGTAGTATTTATACATAATGGAGTACTACTCTGTCATAAAGAAGGATAAATTTGAGTCATTTGTAGGAAAATGGATACGTGTTGTGACCATAAAGTTAAGTGAAATAAATCAGACAAACAATATTAAATATCACATTGCTTCTCTTATATGAGAAAGCCAAAGTATAATTTAAATAGCAAAATAAAAGAAAATAGGAAATAAGGAGATAGATTTTTACAAATGGGAAGGGGATCTAGAAATGAATGGAATGCCAAGCATAGTGGTGGATGCCTACAGTCCTAGTACTTGGGAGGCTGAGGCAGGAGGATCACTGTGAATTTGAGGCCAGCCTAGGCTACATAGTTCAAGGCCACCCTAACTACATAGTGAGACTCTGTCTCAAAAAAACAAAAAAAGAAGAAGAAAATAAAAAATGAAGAGAGAGGGAAAGGAGGAAAAGGGGAATAAAAAGGCTTAAGATTTGATGATATATATATATGTACCAACTCCTCAAGATAAATGTATTCATTATATATCATAAACATGCACTAATAAAAAAGTAAATAAACAGGCATCAATAATTTCCAAATCTAAACTTCCTTAAATGATAATATACCAGGGAAAGATATTTTCCTTTTAAATTAATAAATTCCTGATGAAAACTTAATGTAGATTTGGATAACTTATAATCCATTTTGACTGTAGATATGCTGTACAAAAATGTTCTAGATTTAACTACAGATGAGACATGTTCTGACCACTAATATACACCTACTGTCAAGAACAGGCTTGAATTATGTCTTTTTGTTTTTATTCCTCTTTTGCTTAAATTATTTTCTGCACATAAAAAGTGGACTAACTTGGAACAAACTATAAAGAATACAAAGTAATCTTAATTGCATGCAGAGCTTTTCAGTTTATATATTACCATTCATTATCTCATTTGAGCACAAGAATCCTGTAAGTTAGGATTCTGTTGTAGAGATAAAGGAAGTAAAGCTCAAAAAGTTCAAGTCATAAACTTGTTCTGGTGCCGCATGCCTGTAATCCTAGCATTTGGGAGGCTGAGGCAGGAGGGTTGCTGCAAGTTCGAGGCCAGCTTGGGCTAGATAGTGAGTTCAGGGCCAGCTTGAACTATAAACCAAGACCCTGTCTCAAAAAAAAAAAAAAGTTCATCTGCATAAAGTTTTACAGAGGGAGAACTAGAAACCAGTTCTTCTTATTTGTATGGTAGTATTCTTTCTCTCTATAAAGTTAGTGGAATTAAGTTTCTCCTTTTCCAGATGAAATTTTTTTCCTTTTGTTTGTGTGTGTGTGTGTGTGTGTGCGTGTGTGTGTGTGTGTGTGTGGTGCTGGAGATTGAACCCAGGGCTTCACGTATGCTGGGCAAACCCTCTACCACTGAGCTATATCCCCAGCCCCGGATGAATTTCTTAATAGTTTGTTACTACACATAAGACCGATTGATCTTGCCATTCCTACGACAGTGAGAGAGTCAACATGCATTACTAAGACTTGCTGATTTGAATAATACTTTTCTAGAGTAATATGTCGGCTTATAAACCACATTCTTCATTTATTTGAGATCATTCAGCTTTCAGCTATGGATACTGTATTTATTGGCTCTGTATGTAACTTCCTGTTTGGTCTCTTAAGCGTTGGTTCAAAGTTCTTACTTCTGAACTTTGCCTTCTCTTCCTGTTTACTACGTAGCTCTGGGAAAAACACTGTCAGATTGTTTAATCTGTGAACCATGTATCTTTAATTTTTATCGTAGGCACTTTTGATCACCACCAGGGGGCAAAAGCCTACCAGATGGCTTCTCCACAATACACTATATAGGACTGTACAGTACAGGGACCCTCAGTGTCTGATTCTTGATGGAACCTCCCTGCTAATTATTTCAACCACAGGGCCCCAGGGACAGAACAAAGGCTCAGCACAGAGGGCTCTTGTGGCACTTAACTGTACAGCAACCAAAAACAGCTCATGACAGCCCTGTCAGTTTAAAAGAAACAATAAGATCCAGGTCCGAGTGGCAAACAGAAAGTGGGCTTTAGTAACCGTAAACTCCTGTGTGTTTTCTACAGCTTTGATATGTTTGGTGGTATTTACCAGCTGATCCAAAGAAAGAACTTCATCAGTTCTCTCTGTAAATATCAAGTGGTGTTTGCATTGTGAGTTATTTTTTTCCTTTTTAATCCTAATCTTCCATTACATTCTTGACTTTTGTACTGTGGATCGTTTATCTGTTATAAAATTATTCCTTTAAAATATTTTAAATCTACATTTTCACTTATGTCTTTGAAACAGAGATTTGAAATAGAGATGAAGAAGAAAGCTCAAAGATCAAATTTAATTAGTATAATTTCTTCACAGCAGGAAGCAAATGGGAGGTAAAATAGCAAGCAAGACCTTTACAACTCGGTGAGCCTAGCTTTCTCAGCCTCCATTCACTCTCAGCCTCTCTTTACCTCAGGAGTGATGAATGACTTTGGATAGGTAATAGAGGAAGCATGCGGGTCCCAGGAAGCTTTCCAGGGTTTATGACAGAAAATATTTCAAAAAGTCTCATCACAAAACATGGACAGAAGGGTGGAATATCTCCGAAAACACCCCCCAGCCCCCACTTCTGAGAGCTGGGTCAAAGGGGGTAAACTTGACTCCTGGTCTAGCCCAGTCTCATACACGCTCAGTGAAAGCGTTTGAAACCCCGCAGAACCCTTGCCCACCAGAAAACATGTTTGCCTCGGATTTCCACTTCAGTTTGTTTTCTCTAAGGTTGGCCAGGCTGTACGCCCCACCTCATAAAATGGTTGTCTCTCAGAAGTGAGGACTCCAGCGGCCCCCCACCCAGGACTCCTTACTCGGCTGGCTGCTTTCGGCCTCTTCGCCTTCCCTCCCAAACTTGCCCCGACCTCCAGCACCCCGACCCGTCTCAGCGCGAGGAAGAAAACGCAGGACGGGGGCGGGGGCCCGAGGTGCACGCACACTGCCAGCTTCCGGCAAACCAAGGGTTAAAACGAAGCGGCGGCGCGCGCGGAGGGGAGAGGCGGTTGCTGACAGGTGGCGCCTGCGCACTGGGAGCCCTCATTGTGCCCCGCAGCTGCCGAGCCACCCGCCCGCCGCCAGTTCGGCGCGTCAGTCGGCGAAGAGTCCAGTGGTGGGTGCGGATCTTGAGATCGTTCCTGCGGCCTCCTCTTCCTCCCCGTTCCCCTCACCCCTACCCCACACCCTTTTCCTTCTTCCCAGCCCCGTCACCTTCCCGTCCCCCACACTCAAGACAAGAATGCCCTGCCCGGAACAACCTAGCAGCGCCTAGATGGCTTTGGTCACGGTCCAGCGGTCGCCTACCCCCAGCACCACCTCCAGCCCCTGCGCTTCGGTGAGTCCCTCCCGGCGGCCGCTCCGCTCGCTTCTGTCACTGCGGCTCGGCTTTGCCTCAACGGGTCCCGCCGAATGCCACTGCGCACGCGCCGCTTCCCAGGCCTTGGCACTCTGCTGCCGCGAACCCCCCCACACCTTCTTACAGATGAGTAGCAGGAGCTGCAAGATGCTGGTTTATGCCCCCATCACCCTGAGCACCCAGCTTCTCACAGTACTCGCCCTGAAATCCCCGGTGGCATGCCTTCCAATGCTTGAGCATTTCCTTTCGGGAATGAGTCATTCTTGTTTTTCACCCTCCCCCTTCTTTTACCCTCCGTTGCTCTGCTGCAGGGAGGGGACCGAGGGTCTCCAGCGTTGCCCCTTACTCATTCCCACATCCTTTTATTTTCGCCATTTCAGGGACCCGTTCAGTATTTGCAGACTCCTGGGTGTGTGCCTACTCCCCTAATCACTTGCTGTCTTTCTTGTGCTCTGTACAAGATTCATTGAACTGCTGAACGGTAGTTATTCCTCGGTTTCATCCCTTCTCCAAAGGGTGGCAATTGAGTCTCCTCTGCTTCTTGGATTTCTTACCTTTCTTCAACGAGGTGCCGAACCATCTGGTGCTCTTCAATGACCAATACCAATTCATTTCCATCTTACGGACATTTATGTCTTATATTCATTGCTCATGATCATTCTTGTTCTTGGGTCGTGTTTGAATGGCTTATTACTAAAGATGCCTATACCAATAAAGCATGCTTCCAGGCAGAAAATACCCTGTAACTACCCTTTTGCGGCTGGGCCTGTCTGCCTTCACTCTTTGCCTCACCCGCGTTCCTTTACAACTATTCTCTTAGGTTTCATTTTTGGAAATATTTATTTAAAAATAAAATATTGCACCAATGGAGCAAAATGGACTTAAAAACCCCAAACGTCCAGATGTTTTAGAGAGAATCAGACTGAATGAATATTTAAGCAGTTGGGAAAACTTTATTGAATGTCCCTCAGAATTGTAATTTTAAAAATAGTGTTGGTGGGTTTAGTAGTATCAAGTTGCAGAGGTATTCAATAAACACTATACTGCCTTCCGCTCTATAAAAAAATCGGATTATTCAATATTTGTTTGTTAACTGGGAGGTATGGTTTGATATCTTCAAAAAATGTTGGCCTGTGACTTTAAATAGCTTCTAGAATTTCAAATTTTTTGTGTATAGCTGTGTTTTCTTCTTTTCTGAGTTTTGCATTTTGTGTGGCCAAATTGACAATTTTATCTTAATTCACGAAGTGATTATATTTTAAAGGTTAACTTATCTTGTGGTGTTCCAGAGAGTAGACAAGAACTAGGGTTCTTGGACAGAAATTCAGGGAGGCAGATTTCCAGTGATTGAAAGGAATTTTGTAACAATGGAGTAGTAGACTTCCTTGTAATATATTGAGTACTCATTGCTGGAAGTACAAGTATGCAAGCAAAGGCTGGAGGACCTTTTGCCTGGGAGGTGATTTAAAGAATTCTTGCAGTGGAAAACTTTAAGGCTCTGTCTTTAAGATGCTGTGACTTGAGAATTATTGTACTTCAAAGCTAGTAAAACATTTTAGGGTCCTCTAAAGACAGGTACCATAGGAATAGAAATTTAATATATTTTATTTTTTATGTGTAGTACTTCAGGGTAGATTTTGGAAAGTCATTAACATACCATCAGACCGTCTTAATTCACTCCACAAGTGAACTCTATGGTTTGTGGTTAGGAGGCCAGATTTTTGGCTGAGAAAGCAATTGAGGGTTAGTACATGCATACAGACTAGAAATCAGTATTATAGTAACATTATTTTCCTTGGGCATTGTTGAAAGCAATTTATGCTAGAATAGTACATTTATTAAGTTGTTATCATGCCAATTTCTTGAGATGATTGATTTATATAAAGTAAAGCCCTATCTACTTGATTTGGCTTCATTAGCCAAAATTTGGGTTACTTTAAAATCTTGAGGTGTATTAATAATCATTTCTGATATAGGTAATTAAATCGATCATGTAGTAAACTTGGTTGTTAAGTTAAATCACTGATATTTTCATATCTACTGGCCTGGTCATTTCAGTTTTTTATACTTAGCCTTGGGTACAAAGAAATCCTGGCACTGGTGTGTGAAACAGTTAGCATTGTTAGTATGACTGATAAGCCAGTTATCTTTCCTTTTAAATTTGACTTTATCCAGAGCTATATGCAGCTGAGTTATCTCATGGTCCTTGTCTTCAGTGTTTGGCTGCAAGTCTGTCTGACTTGCATGTATTTTGCAGTTGTATCTCTTGCTGCATGAATAGATTGGGTTGTTTTAAAAGAGAGAGTGTAAAAGGAATCTAGAGAATCATAAAAGAAAAATTTAATTTTGTGAGGCTGGAAATTTAATTTTTTCCATTAATCACTTTAAATATTCTGTTTTCACTATAGGATGTGGAACATTTTGATAGTGTTAGCTCTTCAGTAGTCCTTCATTAGGCACTAAACAATTGATCATCTTTCTAGGCCATTATACATATTAAGATGTATAAGACATTTACATGTCCATCAGGACTACATAATCTGGGTGCCAGGGGCAGCAGAGGAAAAACAAACATGAGGAGGGAGGGCAGAAAAGGAGAGCAAGAGGAATGATACTGTATGTATGTGGGGAATAAGTTCATAATGGTCATAAGTATTGTCTGAATTCAATTTAAGATAAATTCACTAATGGCAGTGGTAATAAGTAATAATAATATCTAGCATCTCTTGGGTCCAGGCGTCATGTAAAGTGCTTTACATAAATGGATTAACTCATTTACTCCTCATAATATGCCTAAAGGGAGTTGCTCTTATCCCAATCATATATTAAGAAATGGCAAGGAGATATTAAGGAACATGCCCTGTGTCATTCAGCCAGTAAGTAACTGAAGTTGTAATTCAAACCCAGATTGCCTGACTTTAGAATCTGCCATCTTTCTTTCCTTGATGATCAAGTATACTAGATGTGATCAAAATATATAGTGAATGTTTAAATTTTAAAAAACTATTACAGTAAAAGACACATTTTCACATCAATCCTTCTCAAAATATTCCTCTATGCTTCAAACATAGCTATTCCCTCATTCTTACCACTTTCTGAAGTACTTCTATAAGTCTTCTCTCATGAGTGTTTTTATGAGGTATGATCAAAAATACAAATACTGCTGCCAAATGCCATCAAACAGAAAGGGAGGTTCATAAAAACATTATGATGCATCCTCTTCCACCTTACTCACCAAATCTGGCACCGTGTGACTTCTGGCTCTTCCCCAAAATGATCATGAAAGGTAAATGCTTGGGATCTATTCAGGACATCAAGGTAGCTACAACAGAACAAATAAAGACGTAAAGGAGAACTTCCTGAACTGCTTCAGAAAGTGGCAAAAACAGTGGGGGAAGTACTTTGAGGGCAATTAATGGCAGTGTGTCTTTTGTGGTAATAAAATTTTTTAAAATGTAAACATTCACTGTATTTTTCAATCACATTTTGTATCATAGTGGCTCTCTAACTAGTTATGGAAGAGTTAAATTTCAATAGGTCAGGATAGAAACTGGAAAGAAGAGAGTATCCCAGGTGGAGAGAAACTGTATGCACCAAGATTTAGGGAAAGAAAAGTACAAGGCATATCTGAATGAATTAAATAGGCCAGTTTGAGGAAGAATTTGGAAGGATGGTAAGAGATTAAGGTGAGGAGATAGCTAGGGCTGTGCAGAGACATCTGAGCTTAAGTGTTTGAACTTGATGGAGAAGGTAATGGAGAGTCCTCAGAGGTTTTGAACAGATATAGGTATGCTCACAGTAGTGTTTTAAGAAAAATTGATCTAGAAGCCATGAACCAAAGGAATTTCAGGAAGAGAGAAAGTCATGAGTAGAACCTAATAGAGGCTGTTGTAGCCCAAATGTGAAATAACAGCTGCCTGAATTGGGAGTTTTGAATTGGTAATAGAATAAAGGGACATATATCAGGGAATGTAGGAAAAACTCAGAGGATTTATAGATTGATTGAATATAGGAGTAAAGGAATCAGATGCTAACTCTTGGGATATATTGTTCTTCCTAGAAAATAAATGCTTCCCAGTACTGCAGGTATACTTCAGTGGTAAAAACTAGTGTTTGGCATGTGAAATGCCCTGAGTTCAATCCCTAGTACCAAAAAAACCCCTTTTTCCCTCTATTTTTTTATATGAATTTTCCTTTTGTAATTTAATTTTTTTTGTTTTTTGAGACAGGGTCTTGCTGTGTGGTTTAGGCTGGCCTTGAACTCACTGTGTAGGCTGGCATGGAACTTGTGGCAATCCTCTTGCCTTAGTCTCCTAAGTGCTGGGAATATAGGCATGCCCCATCATGCCTGGGCTAGTAATTTATTTTTAATTTAAAATTTATTTTTGCTTTAATTTTAGTTGACTCATTAATTGTACATAGTTGTGGGAGACAAGACAGTGATGATTTGATATATATAATATATAATGATTAGTTGAGGATAATTGGCATAGCTATCACTTTAGACATTTATCATTGCTTTGTGTTGGGGAAATTCAAAATCTTCTCTCTAGCTATTTTGAAATATATAATTATTGCCAACCATAGTTATCCTACTGTGCTATAGAATATTACAAGGTATTTCTCTTATTCAGCTGTTCCTTTGTATCAACTATCCTCTCTCTTCTTCTCTGAACTTCTGTGAGATCAACTTTTTAGCTTTCACATATAAAAGAGAACATGCCATATTTGTCTTTCTGTGCCTTAATGTAATGTTCTCTAATTCCATCCATTTTGCTGCAAGTGACAGAATTTTTTTTTGCTGATT